GGGCGGGGGCGGCGCGGCGGCCGCGCGGGCGGCGCAGGCCGCGCTGGAAGCTCTCGTACTCGGCGAGGTTGTTGAAGCAGGGCGCGGCGGGGAAGGGCAGCGGCGTGCGCGGCGAGTAGAGCGCCAGCAGCGGGTCGAAGCGGCTGGAGCTCACGTCCAGGCGACCGGGGCTCGGCGAGCGGCGGCGCCCGGAGGGACCCCGCGGCTCCGCGCCCGCCTCGTCCTCCTCCATGGCCGGGCTGCGGGGGCGGCACCGCCCGCGGCCGCCGCCAGGGGCCGCTGCCGCGCAAGGCCCTGAGGGCGGAGCGGCCCCGCAGGTTGAGGGCCGGGCGGGCGGAGAGCTCTGGGAGCCCTGGAGGTGCCAGGGGTTCGTCCCTGCGGCACTCTCCGTGTCAGTCCTGTAGCCGCACAGAACCATACAGCTTAGGCTATGTAGCTTCTTAGTGTACCTTAAGCTGCTTAAAAGGTCGGTGGTTTCTCGACAGACAGGAACTTCTCAAAAGATTGAGGGGTATCTTTCTTCTGGGAAGCGGTAAGAGGAACATGAAGCTAGCAAACTAGTCAAAACTGCCCTCGTGGTCGGGCGGTGTTTCAAAGGGGCACGGACACTGGTTCTAGAGGGCTTTGATGATGTGCCAAAAGTAAGAGTTCAAGAAAAGGGCAGCGTGAGGAAGACTAAAGACCACCCTAAAGAACCGCTGACTCAAAACGGGAGGCGGGTCAAGGGGAGGAGCAGTTCTGGGGGTTAGTTTTGGCAATAGTGCAAGAAAGAAAAGGAGCTACTGGAGAGGGTCCAGCAGAGGCCATGAAGATAGTGAGGGGTCTGGAGCATCTCTCTGATGAGGAGAGACTGTGGGAGCTGTGCCTGGTTAGCCTAGAGAAGACTGAGGGGGGAGTCTCTCAGGGTGTCAAGGGAGTGGTGCCAGGCTCTTTCTTGGTGGTGCCCAGCGCCAGCACAAGGAACAATGGCCATAAACGAAAACACAAGTTTCACCTCAATGTGAGGAAGAACTTCTTTACATTGAGGGTGGCAGAGCACTGGAACAGCTGCCCAGGGAGGGCATGGAGTCTCCCTCTTCAGAGACATTTCAAACCCACCTAGGTGCATTCATTCTTGTGTCACCTGCTCCAGATGACCCTGCCTTGGCAGTGAGAGTGGACTGGATGATCTCCAGAGGTCACTTCCAAGCCTAATAATTCTGTGATTCTGTGATCTTCACTCAGACCCCCTGGTTCAACCTTTCCCCTGCAGCCCACCCTGGAGCCCCTCACCGGTTCTGGGGATGCTCCCTCGACTGGTCACCAAATCCCACTTGCCTCAGGCAATGAAATGGCACCTGGGCAACACATGGTTGCAATATAGTTTGCATTTTAACCCATAAAAGGATCTACAGCACAGAACCACTTCCCTGAGGAACAGCGAGGAAACACTGTTAATGCTGCAGAGAGGTTTTACTGTAATGATTCACCACCTCCATTAATGTTTCATAACGGGTTCCCGTACATTTAATGCCGCCTGTTACAGCAATACATCAGTCACAGGTGGTTCCCCAACTGCACAGAAAACCCCTCTTTCTTCACTGGGTCACAGTACAAGACTTCTAAGCTACAGCAATACCTGGAAGCACAGACACAGGTCAATCTGTCTGTGCCACCAACACCAGGCTGCTGCTTGAAACTTGGGAATATTTATTTTCCCCTACAGCTATTAAGTCATATATATGACTTTATGCATGAGGATGCCACAGAGAGTTTCTTTCTCTAGAATTTATATTAATACAAATTAAAGGCCATGGTTGTACAGACAATCTGTATCTTGGTTCCAAAGTCTGCATTTGTTGGCTTATTCCATATTATTGTAAGGATGAGTTAATTAGAAAACACTCTGAGGTTAAGAACTTATACAGACCCATTTTTTATACACACACACACAAGGTACATACATAGATATGTTGTATAACGTATAAGGTGGCCATAAAATATACGATAAAAAACCTACATGATACTTTCCAAGCATGAATCATGGCTGCCAAATTATTTTTTTTCATCTTTAGTCTGAGTAAATCCAAAGTGTTGCCAGTTCTGGAACAGCTGCTTTGTATGTAATGTCCAAAGTCAGGCACCAGACAGTCACAAATGGCATTTCAAAGTCAAGTTACATTTGTGTTACAAGACAAAAAAACAGCAGACAGATAAGAAGTTCTTAGGGGTAAATGACTGGTGCAATGATTCATTCAGAATCTTTATCTCACAGTCACTCACATCCTCTTCCTAGGAATTTTGTGGCCTGTTCTACAAACTAAAAGCAAAATACATTCTCTCAGTGCATGTTCTTAACTGCTCAGTATGAGCACAGAGCAGCAGAAGGGGAAGCCCTGTGCTATTATAAACACACAGGCTCATTGTTTAATCTCAGGAAGAACCTGCAAAGTAGTAGTTTCCATCAGTACCTGGCTGATGTTTTAAAAAAAAAAACACCAAAAGGCATATTGCCTTAAATGTGCAAGTTCTTCCTGCAGGAAGGGGAAACAGTAGATTGATAAGAAATTCATGGGAAATGAACTCTGTACTGAATGACCTTCTCAATCACATTTGATCCTTTCTTTCCATTTTTATGGCCAGTCCCAACTGCTGACTATCTCTCCCTTAGCAACAACTGGCTCAGTTACTGTTCTAGCACCACGGTTTTGAAACCAGCATGGTCAGCAGTAGTAATAGCCTTATAAATACCTATTATGTCATTATAGCTGTGTTTCTACACTGAAATAGGTTATTTCCCTCAAATTCCAAGCCCCTATCCATTAGCAGAAATTTTTCTGCTCCGAGAGGTTGTATGATTTAACTGTTTGGACAAAGGGTCTTAAATGACAGTTAAACCAGAACAAACCTGTGCATTAACCAGGCAACACACATTCCTCCCTTCCCTCTAACTAACACGGATTGTCAGCACTGCTATGTCTGTGTCATTCCCAGGAAAATCAGAAAACAGCAGTACAAGTTGATGTTGGCTCCCTCTTTGCAGGCAGCAGGAATGTTCTCGTGTTGCTACTGCCACTCCTGACCAGTAGGAGACAGGTGACTTCCCAGGCCATGGAAAGTGAGAAAAGATGTCTATCCCTGTCCTAAAAGAATTCCAGTCTGTACAGTATCTTTATTAACTTCACTTTTTGGAACTTTCACCACTTACTAGTAAAAATCTCAGGAATGAGGAAGGCCACATGATAAACCATACCAGAGAAGGTATTATTATTATTTTTAATTTTTACAAGTATAAAAATCCTGTACATTTGACAAAAACTTTTAACATCCATCAGGAAACTGCTGAGCTGCTCCATTTCCTTTCAGTAAGAACCAGACATTAGGCAGTTGAATGGTGTGTCACTCATCTGACCAAACACACTGGCCTTGAACTGAAATACTATATGCCAATTGAGTATTCTGGTCTAACTCAGTTGAAACAAAAATAAAAGCAATAACTTTCTGTTCAAATATGCAAGCTTTTTTATGATTCAGTAAAATACCTCCTGCTTTAAATGGTACAGAAATGCAGGAAATTTCTATACACTTTTTCTACAAATACACGTGTAGAAGGAAGGAGCAGTCTTAACTTACGACAAGTTCTTAACATTCAAAATATGATTTTAGCTTTCCATATGGGCATATCCTTGTATGTCAGACAGCACACCAGTGTCTTCTTTTTAGGCAACAACAGTAATAAAACCAGTGGAGCTGCTGAAGAGGGTTATAGGTTAAACTCTGCCAGCCACCATCTGTATTACTCAGTGGCCAACAACCCAAGCAGACCAAAATGTAAACTACCAGTTGTACTTGTCAGAGGTATCAACTATCCTCAGCCAGAATCTCAGGATATTCCTCCCAGAACTGGTCCCCAATGATATCACAGTGCAGTGGAACAACTTTAGTCTTAGTCCGGGTCACTTCCACTTCCTTTTCTTCTGCTTCCTTTGGCAGTTTTATTTTCTTTGTGATGATTTCATTAACCTGAAAATACAGTTGACACATTAGCAGACATATAAGACTCCAGAGGGGATTCACAAATGGACAAGAAACAAAGGCACAACAAAAACAGCTATCAACCCTTTATCATACCAGAGTCTGAACACAGCATCTTTTGAAACAAGAGTCTGTTCTCAATTCAAAGACTTAATAGTGAGCAGTTGAAGCCCATCATCATCACATGGCCTGAAGAAATTACCTGCAAATTCACATTAGTAATTGCAAGTATCCTTGAATGAATCACAATAGGTACTTTGGAACTATTGTGAGCTATATAAAGCAAAGAGGAAACTTCACTAATGTCTACAGTCACCAAGGAAAAATATGTCGAAGGAACAAGTGGACTGTATTTCCATGTGGGAGCATCTGTCTGCTCTAATTAGTTCAAATGAACTAAAAATTGTTAGCCAAAATTTAAATTAAAAAGGATTACAGTTTTTTTATGTATAGAAGACAAAAGGCTGAGCAAGTTTATGGAGAACTCTTAGTATAGACAGATGGAACACTATTTCTAGATAAGGTCTCCTGGCACAGAAGGACACTAAGGCCATAAACATTTATGATTTTCTGGGGTTTCATCTCTTAAAAAAAACACAGGACAGGAATTTCTTCCACTAATTCTGGATCATCCTAGAATGATGAACATTTCCAAGTTACTTTTTAAGCAGAAAAGGACTAAGCATACTATGAACTGAGCTACATTATTGAACAAAAGGTCTGGGAAGGACCTGGCACAGGCCCCAGTGATATACATATTGTCATCTGTTGATACATGTTTTATCTAGTTGGTCATAATTTGTATCTAAGCCAGACTTCACAGACTAATTTTTATATTATGTTCCTGGAAACAGATATCTCAAAGACATCTCCAAAACAATTAGTCATCTTACATGTCATTACCTGGCAAATATGGTTATTTTTAAAATGTATTTATACCTAGACAACCATTTAAGATACATCTGGTGATTTTACAGTGTAGCCTGTCTGCCACAGTGTAACTATTTAAAACATGAACAAGAAGCAAGTGACAATAGTTTTTTACCTTCTGCCATATTAAGACAGTTCCTTTTCTATACATCAAAGGTTCATTGTTGTAGTTGATGTTGAATTCAGAAAATAAGATTTCATTCTTATCTCCAGCCAAAGTTCCCTGAGAGGAAATGAAAACAAAAATATTCTTATAGATAATAAACAAACAAACTGAATCTCCAGGGT